GATATAAGTGTAACCCGTGATCAATGGAACCCTAAATGTATCGCATGATGCGTTTTAATGCATCATAATGAGCCTCTCTAGGGTCATGCATGAATAAACTAACCTGCTGAACTGCATAAGCTATATCAGGACGAGTAAAAGTGAGGTACTGTAATACACCTGCAAGACTGCGATAAAGTGTTGGATCATGAAATTTAGGTCCAGACTCTGCACTAAGTTTGGATTGAGTATTCACCGGAGTCACTGCAGATTTACAACTGGTCATACCTGCGTGCTCTAAAATTTCCTGTGCATATTTCTGCTGAGATAAAAATAGATATGATGGAGTACGAGTAACAGCAATGCCTAGGAAAAATTTCCGAGGACCTAAATCAGTCATTGAAAAACCTGTACGTAAGTTAGATATGATGCGCTCACGTAGCTGATCTGAAGATGTAACCAAAACAATATCATCAACATATAATAGTAAGTATGACATATCATTTCTATGCCTGAAAATGAATAAAGAATTGTCACTCTTAGCAATGACAAACCCCATCTGCACAATAAAGTTAGCAAATCACTGATACTAATCCCTTGGGGCTTGTTTGAGGCCATAGAGAGTCTTGCACAGTCTGCAAACATAGCCTGGATATCTCTTGTCAACAAACCCGGGGGGTTGATGCATATACACACACTCATTCAAATCACCATGCAAAAAGACATTTTTCACATCAAGTTGGTAAATAGAGCACTTTCTAGCCATAGCCAGACTCAACACAGTACGAATAGTAGTCGGTTTGACAACCGGACTAAATGTTTCTTTACAATCAACTCTTTCAACCTGTGACCTGCCATTGCAAACTAAGCGAGCCTTGTGTCTTTCAAGATTACCATTAGCATTCAATTTATGACGAAACAACCACATACAATTGACAATGTTCACCCCCGTAGGCTTAGGAACCAATTCCCAAGTTCCCGTTTCAATTAAAGCATTATATTCATCATGCATGGCCACATTGCAATTAGAGTCGGATAAGGCTTGTTTGTGATTTTTTGGAAGTGGGGAACGGAATATGGCTTGGGTAGGGGCGAACACAATCATACCATACTTTGGATTGGGTTTAAATATGCCATGTTTAGCTCGAGTTTGCATAGGTGAAGGAGGTGGTCTAGTTAGAGAAATTGGAGTGTGTCCACGAAGAGGGGGTGGAGTATATAGAGGTGGGCTATGAGGATTCTGCTGGGCAAAAGGAGAAGAGGGCAGCGATTGGGCCTCTGATTGGCCTAGCGGGCTATCATCGGAAGTTGGGTCTGGTTGCGGGGTGGGCTGGGTTGGGTCTGCTTGGGGCGCTGAGTTGGCAGCGGTTGCTGGCCTAGCAGGCAGCAGCGTGATCCGCATGTGAGGTGTGGGTGAGAGTTGTGGGCCGCAACTTGCATGTGGGCTATGCTGGCCATTGTGAGAATTGTAAGTAGTTGGGTTTTTAGGGGTTGACTGCAACATATTATAGTGTTGGAAATAGGGTGACGGATCATTAGAGTCCAAAAAAGAATAATCAGTTGCTTTAAACTCAAATATGTTTCGATATGGAAAAATATTTTCATTCAAAGTAACATGATGAGAAATAATAATATCATGAGTGGAGAGATCCATACACCTATACCCCCTATGCTCATGAGGATAACCCAAAAAAATACAAGGAGTGGAGCGAGGAGCTAGTTTATGCTTAGCGGTTGTGGAAAGATTTGAAAAGCAAAGACACCCAAACACTCGAAGATGATTGTAAGACGGTACTACACCAAAAAGGGCTTGAGTTGGAGTAATTTTATTGAGAGTTTTAGTGGGTAATATGTTTAATAAATAAGTGGCCGTTTCAAGGGCATGATGCCAAAAGGAAGGTGGTAGGGAAGCATGAAAAAGAAGAGTACGTTTAACATTGTTAATCGTACGAATCATGCGTTCGGCTTTGCCATTTTGAGATGAAGTGTGTGGACAAGAGAAGCGAAAAACCAATCCATTTTTGACACAAAATAATTTGAACGGATCGTTATCAAACTCACGTCCATGGTCACTTTGAAAGGACTTAATAGGACGTTCAAATTGAGTGAGCTCATATTGTCGAAAATTATGAAAGATTTGAAAAGCTTGAGATTTATAAGTCAAAGGTATAGTCCACACATAATGAGTATAATCATCCAATAAAACTAAATAGTATTTGTGACCTTTATTACTTCCAATGGGAGAAGTCCACAAATCAGCATGAATAATGTCAAAAGCAAAAAAAAGTACCACTTTTAGAATTTTGAAAAGGCAAGCGAACATGTTTCCCTAATTGACAACCAACACAAAAGTTGGAGTCTTGCTCCTTATTACAATCAATAAAATTATTACTCCTAAGAAAGCTAAAAGTAGGTGCTCCATGATGTCCTAAGTGGTTGTGCCATGTAGACAGGGATAAGGCTGTGAGAGAAGTGGCTAGACATGTTGATGGAGTGTTTGTGACTGGATAGAGATCCCCCGCACTATTGCATCTGGTTAGAATTTTCCCCATTCGAAGATCCATCACAGAAAAACCACTAGGATCAAATTCTATAGACACGGAATTATCAATAGTGAATTTTCTAACAGAAATTAAATTTTTGATGATTTGGGGAGCTAAATAAACATCACGAAGGGCAAGGGATTAGTTAGTAATGCTAGAATGACCATAACCCGTTATTGGAATGCGATTACCATTACCCACTTGAATATAATTGTTGGTGCTTAAATTAAAAAGGGGCAAAAGATTACCAGCATTATTTGTCATGTGGGATATAGCTCCGGAGTCCATGTACCAAGAGATGTCGTAGCTTTGAAAACCGGAGGTCAAGAAAGCTTGTTGTGGCTCGGTTGGAGTGAAAGCAGAGCCGTACCCCGGCTATACGCTTGTTGTGGCTGCTGGTACGAAGGTGCCAATGGGCCCGGTCCAAAATAATAAGCCTGCTGCATTGGGCTTTGTTGAGGGAATGGACCATGCTGCTGAGGCACTGGACAGGGTGCTTGAGCCCAATTTGGGGCCTACTGTTGTGAGTACCCAGTTGGGCCGGCCCACTGAGGTTGCCCCCATTGAGGTGCTTGATTTTGTTGTTGCTGTGACTGCTGTTGTGGTGGGCCACGACCTCGGTCTCGACCACGGCCCTGACCCCTGCCTCGGCCACGACCACCACCACCACCAGGAGAGCCACCGTCCAGCCGGCTGATTCTGTTGTGTTTGCTGGGGTGGTGCGGTGTTGGTTTGAGAAGAAGATGTGCCGGTTTGAGCCACAAAAGAGCCGGAGAGTCGGTGTTATCATTGGAGCGTCTTATTTCTTCAAGCAGGAGGCGTTATATTGCAGTTTCAAACGAGGGCAATGGCTCCGTTTGTTGAATCATGGCTGCAACTGTATTAAAATCGGTATTCACAATACCCTAGACTAAGCGAATTACCTATGTTTGCTCCGGGTTGATTAACATTGGCTAGTTGATCTTTTAAATTTTTCAACTCACGACAGTAGGAGGAGATGTCTGAAAACTTTGACAGATGCAAAGTATTGAATTGATTTTCAAGATATACAGCACGGGTAGTCTTGTTATCTTGAAATAGGGCCTTTATTTGTTGAGCCGTATCCCCTCTAGACATGATTGTTTGTAATAAATCAGTCGAAATATTACCATAAATCCAGTTCTTGACGACTAATCGAGTCTTTTCCACAAAGACTCTGATAATCCCGACGGCTTAGGTGTTTTGGGGTTAACGTGGTCAAGAACATTGAATGCATGAGCATGACATTCAAATATTCTGCCCAATTCAAATATTGTACCTTCTCCCGATCAAGGATAAGGGGAATAGCATTCTTGATATTGTTAACACCGAAAGCTGGGTGAAACTCTGAAGAAGATGCATCACCATCATTGACATTGTCGCCATCTTTACCCATGGTGGCAGCTAGAAGCTAGGTGCACTAAAGTAAAAATAAAAGCAATAATGGGGAACAGGGACAGAATTTAGGCGCACCAAATTAATTTTTGCTGTGGAAAAGAGAATTGGTAGATTTTGAATGCAAATTGGGATCGGCTAGAATAAAGAAAAAATAAAAATAAATTGCAAAACCTAGATCAAAACCTAAAGCTGTGATTTCCATTGATTAATGTATATAGGGTTACAACATAAATCCTAATAGTGTTAGAACCCTCAAAAGATAATTATACAAAATATATCACAAATATCCCTAAGTAACAGAAATATCATATATTTTATCAAATAAAAATTGTAAAGACTTTTAATTATCATTATTACCTTTATTTATTTTTTTTATTTTATTTTTATCATTATTACTTCATGTTGTTTTTTTCCGGAAAAAATAAGCTACTCAAAGCAATGCCTTTATAATCTATATAGATATTTATATGGTAAACCCATCTACAAATTCTTAAATGGACCTGGTTCACACTAATTTATTGTGGACCACTAACATTAGAGAAAGTATGGTTGTTTTATTAATAAAAAAAAGGGTCACTATAATTAAAAAAAAGGTCACTATATTGAAACAAAAAAAAATCATTTTGGTAATATATATGCCTAAGTGGTTATTTTTGTAAAGAAATATTTTATATACTGATCAATATGAATAATAAAGGCCACTATGTAAAAATTAGGGTAATAGCGTCATATTTCAAATTCACAATATTATTAAACGTTGTAGTAGTTTTAATAAAGGTTACTAGGTTAAAAATAAGGTTACTATGTTAAAAATAATGGTCACTTTGTTCAATATAATGTCAGTTGCATGTGTATAGATCTCAGGTCCACAATAATATCCCGCAAGTCTTTTTGAAACCCATCAATGTCTATGTCATCTAGTACGGCCCCCATTTTTTGCTTTTTTTTTTTTTTGCAAATGCAAAGCCCAATACTATCAAAATTTAATGTACCTGATGACTAAAAGCCCAATACTCATATAGCTCAAGTGATTGAAGGCCCAATAACTAATATAGCCCAGCCTCAAAAATAACTTCAAATATCATTTCCTTCCTCAAGTGTCATTTTAGTATCTATATCCAAGAAGTAAAATCATCAAAGCATGCTACCTCAGGTTCTAAAATCTACATGCCTACTCTTTTCTGCCCTGAAAACTTAATATAATCACTAGAACTATGCTCCGACAACTGATTCTGGCAATACAAAATTGTAAACACAATAACTCAAGTCGTGTCCAGTCTTCATTAATAGAGCAGTTCCATAACATCAGTAGTCGCTGTTCTCACTCACTATTTCTGCACAATAACCCAGATCTATCGATCAGTTAGTATTTGATGCGAAGCAGTAAGTCACTTATCACAACAGGCATGTTATCTACACAAGACAACCATTAAACTAGCTAACTGTAGAGTTTAGATTTTTTTAAAACTTCTTCAGTCCCTAAATAAAAACAAGCTCTACTTCTCGTATGCACACAGTTTTTTGAGAGGTTTTGTAGTAGTGTAGTGTTGATTTAATTAGAAAAAAAAACAAAAAAAAAACAAAAAAGAAGCAATGGCAATAGTTTATTGTTAATAGGGAAACTAAGATAAAATAATGGGCTTAAAAAGGGTTTGTTAAGTCATGACAGACGCAAGATAAATAAGTGAAATCAACCAAAAAAAAAACCTATATTTTACATGGTTAGCCAATGATGAGTTGAGATGAGAGTTTTATTGATCTCGGGGATATTACAGATTACAAAATAATGGCGGAATGGTTATTATAAAACATAGGGTGTTTATATAGCACCGAGGAAACTGAAACAAAATAAGCTGAAAATTAGTCCCAAACAGAATACCATAGCCTACATAACAAATACCAATGGATTCAAGGAACATGTTCATCAAATGTGAAAGAAGTTTCCAAATGATCCCTTCTAAATTAGAAATGGAGCTTCTATTAGGAAAACTTTGTAGGGAGAGCTGAGAATTTTAATTGGTGGAAGTTACTAAAATCAAATATGTATGTTTCGTTACTAATTTGAAGAGAGAAGTGATAGTTACTGTAATTAAAATGAACAAGAATAAAAAATGAACTCTTTTTTATTCATATAAGAATTAACAGCTAAGACAAAAAGAAATTAGTATATATTGAGCTTTCGTTGGAAATCACAGCAAAGTTTTATGTAGTCTTTTTAACTAACGAGGACACTGAACAATTTGTATAATGGGTAAATATTTGCTACAAGTATTAAGCCTCATAGTTTTATTTTTAAAGGGTTCAAATCAGAAAATGATAAGGCTGTGAAGTTGAGTTGGGGGGTGTGAGCCTCCATTCAGCCCTGGCAATTCGAAAAATGCAACTTCAGTAAAGAAACACGAAGATTTTTAACAAGTATTTCTTTTCAAGAAGGTCAAATTAACAACTAGCAGTACTAATGCTTGAGATATGTGTACTTTGTATAAGTGATAAGAGTCTAAACTAAAAAAATGCTGTACAAGAAAACATCAAAATTGGAGAACGGCACCAAAACTCACATTCATAGCGGTTAGAATGGCTTTTTTGAATTATCTTCGGGATTTTGAGATTCGTACTTTTCTTTCTTGTCCACAACTTGTTGGATACCCTCCTGGTACCCAGCGATGAAACTCTTCATAGCATCCTTGTAGGCAGAAGCTCTGGTCATGTACAACCGTTGCAGAGCAGGTCTTAAAGTCTCCATCCCTCCTCTAGCTGCAACCGCTATTTCCACCAAATTCCAAGATCAATACAATGCAATCCAGAAGCAAAGCACATCAGAACAGAACTAAAAGATAGGGTATATACTGGTTTATTTGAAAAACTAGTATACTATATAATTAGCTCTCATGCAAGTATATAGCAAACACAAAAAAGACTAATATTGCTTCCAATTTATTACTAACGTATCATGCTTCCTATCATTTGGATTCTATATTCTTCCTTCAGATGAAAAGTCAGTTAGAATCTTACCATATTTTCTTTAGAAATTAGTACAAATGGATAAGATTAAACTTTGCATTTGCCAACAATTTTAAATAAAAGTGACATTATTCCAAACATTATCAAGTACTTCAAATCTAGCAAACAATATGTAATATTGTGTTGATAAATGGTTTGCTTCAATTATAACACTTTGCAATAAAGAGAATGCAACAATAAGGTAGTACTCTAAACTAGAGTGACACTTTACAAATGGATATGAATAAACAAAACATTTGCCAGCTTCTGTAATTAGTTACCAAAGCACTTCCAAAGTTCCAAGGCAGTTTTATAAAGATAGATGTTACTTGCTCAAGTATTACGTATATATTTCCAGTCAAAGACAGTTGACAATCTACAAAGTGATGAATTTAGTACTTACTAAGTGCTAAACTATATGAATGACAGCCATAAAGCCCATAATATATATTCATTGTACTGCAGTAATTCTCCTATCATGGAAAAGTTGTGCTTAGATAAAGACCATACCAAATAGAAACTAATCATCAATCATTTTTAAATCATAAAGTGATATGCACGGTGAAGTAACATGTAATGGCAGATCTAGAATCATTACTACTATTATATCCAAATGATCTATTTTTAGACATACCAAGATCCTCTAGTGTTGTTGGTTCTTTCTCCTTATTTTCATTTGATCCATTCTTATCTGTACTTTCTTCCTTCTTGTAATCATTTGGGCGGAGTTCAGGACCAATGTCTCGTACCCAGCTTGCTGCATAAAGACGGGAGGCCTCCTTCAGGACCTGGAGAATTTACAAGAAAGATCAAGGGTAGGATGAATAGGAGAAACTTGTGATTAAGACAGAGTTACTCTACCATTTCTCAGGAGCTATTAAAAGATTCATAAAAATTGACAGATATAGAGGAAGCTAATTAGCTACTAATGAGAGAGAGGACACAGGATTACACAGGTGTATTTTCAATTTCTGGAATGGGCTAGTTCCAAGTTCCAACAATTAGGAACTCAAACCCCCAACCCCACCTTCCCAACCATACGAAAAAATGAAAGTGGGAGATAAAATATATACACTGTACATGTCTATCCAGCATATGATTTGATATTAATTACAACTGCATCGGAAATTCAGAAGTTAATAGATTTAAGAATTCTGATTTGGGATGGAGGAAAGTGAAAATGGTGACAGTTCGAGTACTTCTATAATACTATTTGCAAAACATTTCATGAAAAGCTATGAAGCAGCTAAAAGTTGCCAGCTCAGAATTTTGAACCACCTAGTGAGTTGCATAATAATATATAGCACTTGATTGAGAGAATAATCTAAAGTACTAGTAATTTGTAATTTTTAGTCTTAGATCTTGCAGATGTCCATATGATATAGTGTCAAACTTAAGATGTTCAGACATCTAACGCTAAATTATGGTGACAATTTCTAGCAAAATTTTATTGTACAAATCAGTATAATATTGAATAGCTCAACACTCTCTGGCAGTCAGACTAATTAAAAGTGTTTATCTACAACAGAGAGCGGAGACATATTTAGGAGAGAGAGGGTTTAAAGTTGAACTACACATGGTGACAGTATGTCAATATTTAACAGTTCAGAGAAATAAAAAGGCAAGCTAAAACAGAGTTGAATTATGATTTTCAGAAAAAAAAAGTGGAAGTTGAAACTCAGATTGTGTCTGAGAATAATCACATTCAGTGTGGATTAAGCAGTGGCTAAAGAAACAATTAGATAAGTGATACCATAATGAAAGTAGGATCTAGATGGAACAGAAGCAACAGAAATCTTACATAATACGATTCCTTCCAAGTCAATTTACGCCGCTTTTTTATGTGAGGCGGATCAGGTAATGAGGAAGGAAATGCTATTTCTTTCAAATCATAACGAACATAATCTTTAATTTTCCTGCACACGACCTTGAACTTCATATTCAAATTTGAAAAAAATTAACACATTGACCTGAAAAGAATAGAAAATTACCATATGAGTTCTTCAAAAAACAAAAAGACACAGAATTTCTTCAAATACTTAACATTCAACTTTACATCTACTGACTACCGTACCATAAGCTACAGTTCTCATGAAATTGCAAGCTTTTTGTTAAGCTGAAGTAGAGCACAATATGTCAATATGTAATTACAATGTACAGTAATGCTAATGAAAATAGTACTGTAACTTGAGTATTAAAAAGCTTCCCAAGATATTCAAGCACTTTCTTACATCAATCACGATTCATTAACCAACACATAGAATTAACTTCATTCCATCTCAACTCGATATGTCGATTAACATGTGTTCAAAAATATGAAAATTACTCCATGTAGTTGGATGATTTTAAATAGCTAGTGAAACTTGTAGCCATGGTAACTATCGCTAATACTGTTTATTCTTGATATATTCGATCTTGACCAATCATGATAATGAGTATTAGCTATTGACCAATTTCAATAACTATAATTTTTTTGCTTGTTTGTTTGTTTTTCCAATGCATTGCAGTTAACAATACATCAGTAAATTATCAGATATAGTCAATTTATACATTTGAAAATTATCTACCCAACTACAATCAAACCAACAAGGCCACAAAATGAAAACAGTACAAAAATATAGATACACTCTCACAAGCATTTCAACAAACAGGTAGTGGGCATCCCATAATCTTGAAAACAACAAACCAACAATTAGCATGCAACCATTCACAAAAAATATAAAAATATGATTACTGGGTTTTACTCTAACTAAGTGGGATCAAATAATTGAAGCCCCATTTAGATTGCTAACAGATTAATCACTGAAATAAGTACTGGAAAGTAAGAAATCGCCAAGATAAAATAAAAAGGGTTTAACCTTGAAAAATTCCTCTTTGAGTTATCAATTTGAGGCGCAAAAGGACGATTTCTGGGAGAAATGCTGTTCATCACTCACGCTCAACCATAATTATGGTAATTAAGAACGACCCAATAACCTGATATGATTGCTACTCTTGTCGAAAGAATTAGTAATTGGCAATCTTCAGAAAAAATGGAATAGAAGGATAAACAAAGAGGGAATTACTTAATAATTTTGCATAGTGGTGGGTTTTAGATTTTGGGAGTTGCAATTTAACTGAAGCACAAGGAAGGATTTTTGCCAAGAAGTAAGAACACTTGCGAAAGCTAATTGTATACTGTCGTTGATTCGTTATTAAGTTGTTAGTTGCTACAATAGGTTCTTGTCCTTGACTCCTGTGCAGTTGTGCGTTTAAGTGTTTTGGAGCCTGGATGATTTTGGGTTAAACCGGTTGATAACTCAATTATTTTGGGTATTGGAAAAATCAAAATTGTATCATATTAACTGAAAATTTTAAAAGATAATTACAACACAAAAAATTGAAGAAAATAATGCATCTTTTGCCCCCTAGGGAGTATTATGTAATTCCTCCGTTCCTTAATGAGATGTCTACTTCTCTATATTATGTGAGTAATAAATGTTAGAAATAGACATTTAATAAAGGGACGAAAGTAGTATTTATTATTTGGTAAAATAAAAATAAAAAAAATAAAAAAAAAAAAACCTTACGGAGTATTGTGTATCACAAATTCTTATATTACGGAGTAGTTATGGAGTACAAATTAAAAATAATAATACCCTTTAATTTTTTTTTTTTTTTTAAAGTAATACCCTTTGATAATCTATCTTGTTAATTAGATCCAAATTTTCAATGTATATTTTGCTTAATCTCGAAACGCGTGCATGCAACTATGCAAGACCATTTCAATTCAATTAACCCATTCTTTATTTTCTAACTTAAGAATTAATCAACCAATGATAGAAATAGTGCGGGCACAACCAACATGCATTTTATAAAAATTAGATATTGGTTCATCTTTATTATTGAGTGCATATAAAGATAAAATGCATTGGATCAAACTATTATTAAATACATAAAACATTAAACAATTCATGGTTTAATTTCTACCCGATAATCCACGCATTACTTATCAAAAATCACTAGCTTTAATGAAATTAATCAGCTGGTTTTTTTTTTTTTTAATATTTATTAATTTTTTATACAGATGAATATGAATTTAATCAGCTAAATATTAAACAATTCATCTTTCTCCCAAAATAAATTAATTTTTTTTTGTTAATAACCTAACCGACGTGAGCTCTTCATAAAAACAGTTAGAATAATTTCCTCCTTTTGATATGGATCTCCAAACTAAAACACAAAGAATCATAAGCCTATATACACCTACTAATTCTATCACCATAAAAAAACATGCCTGTATTTTGTCTTTTTTCCTTTTAATTGCCATAATAATTGTTGCAATATCAAATATCATAAACCCTTTTGATCTCCAATACCTTCGTTACTATTCTCTTTTTCAACAAAAACTGCAAACTTGTGACTATTTCAATGGAGAATGGGTGTGGGATGAGAACTACCCTTTTCATGGCTACGACGAGAGTTGCCGGTTTCTCGATCCCAGGTTCCGGTGCCATCAGAATGGACGTGCTAATACAAGCTTCCGTCGTTGGCGATGGCAACCTCATGGGTGTGATCTTCCTAGGTACGTACTCTTTATTTTTATTATCAATTATTTTTTCTCCTATTTTGTTACTAGTTCTAATTTGATATGTACCGGGATTGTCCTTGTGGCTCATTCAGACGAACAAATAAAAAATCTTTCACGGCGGAAGATTATCCAATCCTTTATATGCTCTATTACGTTTATGAATATCACATTATTCTTGTAAAGGTTAATTAGAATATCTTTACAATGTCAAGTTACCTCTAATCCACTAATAAATGATGTATTTTTTTGACAAAAAACATGCTATGTTATTCAATTTATGAAGCATATGTAAGCTAAGGTGCTTAAAATTTATGTGTCTCAGATTCAATGCAAGTGATTTTCTAGAGAGAAGCAGAAATGGAAGGATAATATTCGCCGGAGATTCGATAGGAAGAAACCAATGGGAGTCACTATTGTGCATGCTATCAACCGGAGTTTCAAACAAATCATTAATATATGAAGCAAATGGAGTTCCTATAACCAAGCACAAAGGCAATCTCAATGATATTTCAGGACTTCAACTTGAGTGTTGAGTATTACCGTGTCCCCTTCCTTGTACGACTAAGCCGTCCACCACCTAATTCGCCGGGACAAGTACATGGAGCTATTAAGGTTGACAAGCTCCACTGGTGGTCGGAGAAATGGCTGGGAGCAGATGTTTTCGTCTTCAATAATGGTCACTGGTGGCATGAGGCGAAAACTATCGCATCGTATGTACTGATATATTTGTTTTTCACTATAATTGCTGTCACTAAAATTCTTTTTCATGTTTTAATAAATTTTAAAAAAAACTAAAAATTAACTAAACAAGTCGTTCAGTTATGATCAATTAGTCACAGAGAAATTTTAATTAAACAAATAACAAAATAAAACAGCCTAGATGTAATCATGGAAAAGAAGGCAATTAAGACTTTATCCAAAATTTGGCTTATCTTACGCCTTCCAAGATCATGTTACCCATTCTTGGTTTTCAGGGGCATCTACTTTCAGGAAGGAGGGGTTGTAAATATGACAATGGATTACACTGAAGCTTTTCGAAGGTCGATGAGGACACTGAAGTCATGGGCAGAAGAGAAGTTAAATTCACAAAGAAGCCACATTTTTTTTCGAAGCTATGCTCCAGTTCATTACAGGCACTGCACTTGATTCTTTTTACATTGTTACTTTAATACTTTCGACAACATTATCATGAATAAAAATAATGAAGCTATGTTTCTGAATTTACAAGAATGTGTGTCTCAGGAATGGAACATGGGATGCAGGAGGTACTTGTAAAGATAGCCTGGCCCCTGAGACGAGCAAAAAGAAGCTGCAGGCAGATCCGCCATTCAACCAATACGTTCTAGATGTGGTCAAAGAAATGGAAGGCAATGAGATGAAGGTCAATTTTCTGAATATTACATATCTGTCTGAGTTTAGAATGGATGGCCACCCATCGATCCATCGCGAGCCACTTTCTGAACAGCACTTCATAGAAGACTGTAGCCATTGGTGTCTACCTGGGGTTCCAGACATATGGAATGAACTTCTATACTCGCAGCTGCTGGCAAAAGATTTTAGAACCAAGAGAAACTAAGGTTAATCACATGTATTTGCCTTTTGTATCAACAGTCAGAAGGATTAATTGATATAATTCAGCTTCAGGTTGAATCCTCAACATTCTCCTCAAGCTTTGAATCCTCAACACTGGTCTGCTTTACTTTCTCAAGCTGCCTCAGTAGATCCAGCCTTTCTGACCCATATGGTGATGGTATCTGCAAGATATATGTAGTTTAGTGGACACAGATAATAAAGGTTTTTTTGCAACACAGAAAATTCTAATTTGGGAGCACAGATCCAGAAAACACACCAAGGCTGGTACATATCTTTGGATGGCTGCCAACATTGCTGCATGTCCGACTGCAGTGACCTGTCAATTATGGGAAGTAAAAGACATGATTACTATTCGTCTTTTATACTATATGGGCCAAATATTTGATCCCAAGTAGTCATTGTAATCTGTCAAACGAAGCATGAGAAACATGCATAACATTGGGCTAAGATACTCACAGGAAGAAGCATGAGAACTCCAATTGGAACCACTGACGCCATGTCTGTACAGGTTCTACGAAGATACTTCTTCTCCTTTTCAGTTAGTTCATCGCCTATTATTGCTCTTCTAAGGAGCCCCGCAGCAGCAGCAACATCAATAGCTAGAAGTTGAGTGCCTTGCCAAACATCCTACCAAACAGTAATAATTATAATTAACATAATGCTTTTTTAAAGTACCAAACAGTTAGAATTCAGCACATTAATTGGAACAAAAACAATTGGACAATATGTTGTCCACATGTACTCATATAGTTCACGTTTGACTTATGGAATTAAGCTTTGTAAAATCAGCCATCACTTGGAATAACTCCGTAATATATATTGGTATACAACTCAAAAAAGAAATTATTACGTATATTTCAGAAAGTACTTAAAGTCTGTAAATTGAAAAGGCGTACAATGAGACCTAGATAAGGTTAAAAAAAAAAATTGAAGACTTTAAAAAGTTTAATATGGCTATAATTTGTGGATGGAATACTATTTTATTGCAGACCAATATGGAAGCCAATCAAAGACAGACATATAACTAATTAAATATGCTTCCCCTTTTTGGAAAAGGCTGTAGTCACACAATATTAAGTGCAATTTTTTTTTTTTTCTTAGCAGAGGGAATAATGGAAAGTGAAAATTTTGCCCCAACTACAGAAAAAGAACAGTAGTCTTGCTGATTTAAAAGAAAGCTCAATTATCAGTATTACCAGCTATCATTCTCAGTTCAAACTCAGAACTTAAAGTGTCCAACCATGTATTAAACCATATCGTGAAAGTAGTTTGCATCAACTCAAGTCAGAGAAAGTAAAAGTTTCAATTACATCTTACCACCTAATGCAATTTCTATGGGCATAAACAGATCTATAAATATAAATTCCAAAAAAAAAAAAAAAAAAAATGAATAATGGAATATAACAAGTCAGTGAAATATTAATCACTTCGTCTTCATTTCTCTTAAGACCATCAACTTTAATGCAGGATCGCTGTTCTAATCACAGTGACAAAACATACATTAATATGGTAAGTGTGCATACCGTGCTCGTCTCTTTCAGCTTTTCAAATGACTTTCCAATTAAGCTCTCATCCTTCTGCACTTGAATTAGTTCAGTACCTCTAACTGCAATGGGATACTCAGTTTCCTGAATAGAGATAATTGAAACAAAGCTTCATTATTGTTTTAATGTAATTCTTACTTATTGAAAAGCACTAAGAAGTTCATAAAATAACTGCTTTAGCAAGTAAATTTTTTTTACAAAGACAAATGTAAATGCCGTAGCACATTTAAACTTCAAGGTGCTATTCCTTCTTCCCTCTGGCTTTATATTTCTACACCTACCCCAAAAACTAGAAATTATGTTACAGCCAAGATTATTTAGCACGTAATAACAACCCCCTGAAATCTATATAATGGAAAATTATATCTATGCTGAATATGCTAGAGTTTGGAAAGGTAACAATAGCTAGATTTATCCTCTCTATTATAAAAGGTTTTGTGACAAGGGAAGGCCATTGGGTATTTGGGTGGACTGATAGATAGAATGGGTTTGTGAATTTTTGCCTTTTTCTTCTCTCGTTTGCCAAAGAATGAACTCCTCAGTATATTCCTGAGAAAGCATACTAGAAGCCACTCCAAAGACCACAAATAGTAAACTTAAAAAGACGCATTCTTAAAAATTATGGATCTGACATATCATAGGACATTGAAGCATCAGTATTACTGGAAAAAGATCTGAAGTCTGTTTAAAGCTTTAAACACCAATCACAAGAGATATGGATCTGAGATATCATGTCAAGTACAACTATTTTGTAACCCCCCACCCCCCTCCCCCCAACCCCACACAAAAATAAGGAAAAAAATATAGTACCTCTTCACTTTCAGAGTCTGTAGTGCTGCTTTGAACTCGTTTTTCTAGCTCCATGAGTTCACTCCTCAAGATTTCAAAACGATAAATTTCATTAGAATCTGACTTTCCAGTGTCTGCATTTGACAGGCTGGATAAACCCAAGGATCTGTTACCCTGCATTTTCTAAGGTAAATAAGAATCGAGACAACCAAGATAACATCCTGAGGCTCAGATAAAGAAGAATACAGAAAGATGCAAATTATTTCATGGACATTTTGGGTTTTTTTAGATAAAAAAAAATTCATAAAAGATAAAAGAAGAGTACAATCAGCAGACATGTCCACACGATTGACAATTAATGACAAACCAATAAATCAAATCCTATTGAGAAAACCCTTCTTAAGACCCACTCCTTCATAACTCAAGTCACGAGCCACCTTACCGAGGTGCTAAAATGAAAACGCCTTGAAGGCTTGAGGCACACTATGTGCTCTGCTCAATAGCAACAGAGTTTTCCCTGTCTCCCTAATTATGATTGATAACCAAAATAGAGAATGTAATGATGGACCCTAGTTTAGCACTTTACTCAATTTTTACATCTGATCATGAGCTAGATAGACAGAGCCCAATTTCCTTACAAAAAAAAAAAAAAAAAAAAAGAAAGATAGAGCCCAAATCTAGAAGATATGGCCACAACCTACAATTTCAGTCTTTTTGATAAAAATAATTCAACAGCCCAGATCATGACTTGTTTCTGATGTTTTGAAATGTTCATGTAGATATTGACTTAAATTAATAGAGATACAATATTGGGACATATTAAAAATTAGTACAACATAATTGTACAGATAAACAAATTATCTCTCAGCATTTAAATACTTCACAAAGAGATATGGCTAGGTAGTTGGTACACAGAAGAATGAAGGGATAGCATAAGAAATTCCAGATGAGAAATTATGTAAAGATGATGCATACAGTAGTATCAGCAGTCTTGGAAGATTCAAGGCCAGGCTTCTTCACCAAAGGTGGGAACAGGAAGTTCCATAAACTGTTCCATAAACCAAGAGGATTACTGAAAGCTCCAAAAATGTAGTTTTGCAGATTAGTCTCACATCATATATGTTGGAGAAATTTGATGACAGCAATAAGTATCATAATGAAACATTTGGCAACAGGAAGCTTTCCTAACTGTTTATATGCATACCTGTTGTTCTTCTCCTGCACAAGAGCACCATCTTTGCCTTTCATAGATCTGCTTCCATCGCCAGTGGAAATTGATTTAACATCATCATTTTCCTGATTGATGAACATGGCATTAGTGTAAAGAAAGAGAAATACTGAATTAGTCAAAAAGGCTCAAAATGTCCCCAATGCCTGTGGAGTTCAATACTGGGTTGCTATTGTGTTGCTGATTCAATACACCCTCCCTTTGGTAGGATACTCCCTCTGTCACCTTTTAATGTTTCCATTTGGAATGTCTTGGTCACAGAGACAAAACATAGACCAAGCATTCTCATCAATATACAAGAAAAAAATATAATCATGTGGGATCTTGTTAGATTCACCCTAGTGTGTAATTTCAAATAATCAACTTTCATAATCATTACTCATATGTAACTAAAGATATTGATAGTTAAAGATGTGCATTGGAAATTGTGGAAAAAATTGGAAACATCAAAATGGAGCGGAGGGACTACACAAACAAAGAGTATATAAGTTACTTGAGGCAATCAAAACACCAAAGGATACAATATTGCTCATTTGACTTTGTAGTCATATCCATTTAACTTAAAGTAGTCGTCTGCTTCAATGGAGTCAAATTAATTGTATAAAAATAAAATAAGAGATGAACTCATGAGACTAGGGGCAAAGACTCTAAAGAGTGGAGATCGAGCAATAAGCATGCATATCTACCCTATCTTAGAAGTCAAATACAAGGAACCAACCTGCATAATAATGAGTAACATTTATGTCCATCAAAGTCTTAACTCAGGTATATATATAAGTAGGGTCCTTCCACAATCCACCCTATATTTATCATTTATAAGCTCAACACTTTCCTTTTCGATTTGACTTCTCATAATAAGATTATTCAAAATCACCTCAAAACTTGGTGTTTTTTAGCTTTGTTTTGCACTTTTGTGTGTGTGTGTGTTTGGGGGGGGGGGGGGGGGGTGGGGGTTTGTCTTTTAATTTCAGGTACCAAGGCCTTAGAGTCATGTGGAATGGCTCCAATATTGAGCGAAATGAAGACAAGGTGCAAAAGCTTACAGAAATGGAGTTGCCCAAGAAAGATTTGAAAAACCTGGGCAAAGGTGGCAGCACCTCAAAAAAACATTGGAGCTTAAAATCAACAAAAGGTCTGTACTAGGCACGACTGGCAGTGCAACATTCTGCATGGTACTCCCATATACTTTTCTCAAGTTTTTGGACCATATATACCCAAGGGTTGTTCAGAACAACTATTGCATGTCCAACTGTGCAGCTTTTAGCACAGTCATGCAGTAATTCCAGAGCCCTTCCCCAGCAAGCAATACTGTCGTGCAAAATGTGCAAGGTTGTTCTGGCCCTCTAGACTATACAGATCAGCAAGCTATTATATGTTGCACGACCGGTCGTGTAAACCTTGCATGGTCCTGCAACCTGGTTTTTTTCCTGACAGTGTTGTTTTACTCTGAGTTTTCTTATTTCAGCTTCAGTGTTTAAGAAGTCATTGTTATACTTTATTAGCCAGCTTTTAAGTCATCTGGGGGAGCACTTTTGTAAGCCTATAAAAAGGCCCACTGGGCTTATTAGAAGGCATGCCGCCTCAGTTATTTTTTCTTAGCATAATTTAGAGAAAGTAGGTTGTGCATCGATGGAGAGATAAGAAGAACTTCAACACTTTGTGAAGATTTTAAATCATAACGAAGCTTATTACGGAGTAGTAAAATTTCTTTACTTTACTCTTATTTATTTATCATGTTTTTCTTTCATTAATGAAAATATAAAAACATGCTCTTTTGATTTGCTTATTATCTTTAATCTTACTTGGTAAGTGGTAAGTGCTTTCTAGATCTTATTTTTAGCTTAATTATGTTCGTATTAGTTGTAAGAGTTTGAATTGGGTTTGTAAATTTATCATTTTCATCTTTCCATTTCTTACTTAGTTCAGGTTTGTAGATTTTCATATTTTGAACTTAAAACTTCATATTTTTGGTAAAAGGAAATGTGTTAAACCTTCCATGATTAGTATGTTTAAGGCCAACAAGCTTGATTTTATTCAATTATTAGCAGAAATTGATAGCATGCACCATGAGTAGTCTTGTTAGCTAGGGGGCTTGGTTAAAAACTAGATCAATGCTCAATTTGAGCTAATTTTGAAGGTTTAAGGTAGAATAGGATTAATGATTGATTCATTGCAGGTTGGAAAACTGTTTGCATATATTGTGGCCACATGAATGGCTGCTTTGTTGCCTCTCTAGCTATGATCGCTTGAGCCTATTTCAAGTGAGACTATCTGAATCATGAATAGGAGAGAGATCCCGTTAGTAGGTGCTTATTGATCTTGAGAGTAGTTAGGATACAAAATCAAGATTAAAATCCTTCTCGCTTTGCATAATATGTTATTGCTTGAATTTGGATGTTTAGTTAGATTACTTTAGTTGTGCATGCTTGATAGAGGTAAAAACCTAAGTCCCCAATTTAATTTCTTCCCCTTAATTTCCCGAATCTCTGTTGTTGCTCATTTGCGTGCTTTTAACTCGAATTTCTAGCTCCCTAGTGCCTTCTTATCGCTGAGATCTTAATCAAGAAACTTGTTTTAATTGTTATTTTGGTAAATTTAGTGATCTAATAGCTAATCACCAATCATTCTCTTAGTACTAACTATTTTTGAGCTTGTGAAACTTCAGTTCTTGATTTTACTGATTTATCCCATTCCTTGAGTAGGTGACCCTTATATACTTCTATACCAAGTACAGTGGTCTAGATGTAGGGGTTAGTTACAGTATAATTTCCACTTAATCACATGAAAGGACAGTTATACTATTCAGTATGAATATGGCAGAAAAATTCTGTCACCCATTAAAGGAATCCTAGATTGTGGTCCATTGTTACGTAGATCATTTCAAGACAAATTGAAAGGAAGGATATAAGAATATAGGAAAGATAATAAAAGATACCTCCTGGAGAGAAGCCGCCTTAGCTCTAAAAGATGCCTCAAGAAATTCCGCTTCTTTCTTAAGTTTCCTTATTTTTTCAAGATCAGAGCAAGCGGCTTTTAGGTGATCTTTTCCAGAACCAGAGCTGGATACATGCATCTCTTGGATCAATGTTTCCAACCTGACCAAAGCCTCTTCAACATTTTCCAGTGCCTGACACAAACCCAATATCAGCCATCTGAAGAAAGCAACTAAATTCCTTATCGACGAAAATGAAGGAATAATACTTCATCCCATAATGATTGCAAGATAAAGGGAGGCCAAAACTTCAGGAACTCACATGATGAGAGGAGAATTTAAATAGGACCCATGTGATGAGGATAGAGAAAGAAAGAGAGAGTCAATTACCAAACAAAGTACTGATGTGATTTAGTTCAAACTTTTATAAAAGGGAAGTGTTGCCATTATTATGGAGCTGAGGATGTAATTGAAAAGACAACCTTTCCATGAAGAGACTCAGAAATTTCCAGTGGCCTTTGCAAACATGGTTCCTTTATGCAAAATATATACAAAAAAAAAAATGAATACCTTGTCAAAAGAATAAGGGTCCTCCCTAGAACTAAAGCTAGTATTAGCTTCAACTCTCTCAACAGATCTCTTAATCTTACTCCTGGATAATTCATCCCTGAGTCAAAGTGTGAAACAGATTAGTTTAGTAAGAAATTTGAGGGGCTGGGGGGATCATACTGGAAATTTGAACCATTCAAGTCACATCAACACATTGACCACACATCAACAAAATCACCCTAGTAGATACAAGTCTGCGCTTTCTAATTTTGGTGAATTTTAGACCAGTTTTGGCTTGACAAAAGCGCAAGCTCTTTAAATCTTGATTGGTATCTCTGATATGGACATACTAGTTGCACATGTCATATCAAACCAGTAGAAAGAAATAAATTCAGGGACAACTCTAGCATGCTTATTTTTGTTACTCCATAGAAACAGTAAGACCTAATAGATGTTTCAGCATAGGAAGTCCACCATGGAATTAGAAAATTCCAGGCCATGCAAAGGTACTCTAGATTTATATCAGTTCATTTTCACTTCACATGAACCCTTGCAACCTTTTGTATATTCAAGAAAAAAGAGAGAACTTACTTTAGCAGCCCCAGTTCCTCCATGGAACTTCCAAGCTTGTGAAGTCTGTTAGAAAACTGACATGTCAACACTAGCGAGCAGAAATGTAGAAGTATAGCAATACAGCAGGAAGGCCCCCAAAAAAAGGCCAAACAATGCTTACCCTTTTGAAAGAAACCATGCTGCTTTCACATTGGAAGGGTTCTCAACCCACTTACTGTGTTTAATAAACACTCGGATCCAACGTGAGCAAACATCTAGCGCTTGTGGTACAGCTTCTGGATTTGGAGGCGATTTAGATTTGTTATTATGCCCAGGTGAGCCTTTGATGGCGTTACTGTAACCAGGATAGAAAGGAAACCAATCCAACTCTTCACAGACTACCTGTCAAATCATTACCTACATAAATACTACTTTCACTCACTAGATATATATTTTATAAGATCACAAGTAACGTTCTTACCTCAACATAAAGTTCATAAGAGCTTATTGAAGAGAACTGTGGATAATACAACACACATCCCCCAACAAGGTATCTACACATGTGAGCAAGAAATTAGTAGATACTAAGTACAAAGGAAAAGTTAACCACAAGCAGAAACTGGTAGAGATTCATGCAACACACTACATATTTTAAAAGAACTACCTGATGAAACCCTCAATTGGTACAGCAATTTTATCAAAACCATTTGCGGCCAGGAAAGATTTTGTACTTCTACCCAGGGCAACAAAAAATCCAAATATTGCTAGGTCCTTCTCCAATACCTGCAATGTTGCAACAATGAAAATAAGTAAACCAATCAACAAATATAAACTACTTCAGTATAAATATTTGATAAAATCTCAATATCTATCAAGTCCTCTATAAATTAGTTAAAATTGCTTATGAATCCACTTCTTTTCATTTATAATCTTAAATATCATATAGAAACCTTTGCACCATCTTTCCCAATAAAAAACATTTCCTCCAACTTGGTCACACATGACTCTTTCCTTTTTTTATATTCTTAGTTTTTCTCCATCAAATATGAGAATTGCAAAAGATGCTTTATTTATGCCAAAGAATTGAGCCGTGTTACACTTGAGTGCACTGGAATCTCAAAATAATTAACAAACCTACCTACTCAAGAAGTCAAGAGTACTTAAAATTAAAGCAGACAAGTCTCGCTTAAATCTAACATAAAGCTATATGGTTTTCATTTCTGTTTAGAGAAACAAGATTCCTATGTTGAATTTCATTTTTCACTACATCTCCAGGTTGCTAACTTAATTTTCCACAAGTGAATGTTTCCTCCTCAATTACCAGCCTAAGTTCTCTGCACTTACGTAAGCATTCAACCATGCATGTACAATTGACAATGCCAATCACAATCCCTCAACTAATGCTGCCTAGTCCCCCTATAACAGAGAGCTTTACATATCATCTGCCTCTGGCAGCCATGCAATACCCTTACACAAACTCATGTCTCAATCCTTATGTTCCATGCCCCATGATATATGAATGTAACCACGGACATTGATACGAGTCGAGTATGCATTTGGGATAGCTCGATTTGACTCGCCAGCATTTTGAGTCAAGCTTAAGTTAAGTCATTTTGCAGATACAAGCATGTGATGTAACATGACATTAAGTGAAATGTAACACCCATCTGATGCTGCTTCCATGACAACGTGATCGTTGATCATAATTGCAGCTACAACTGTGAATTATTTTTATAAAAATTTAATTTTGCTTGAACCTAGTAAAACAAACTATTAAATTTGCTAAAATAGCTGGATCAATTGTGCTTCAATTAGATTCATGGATCCCTGTACTAAATCGCTTGCTCATGAGCCATTGTCAGCAACCCTGGCCAACCATTTTCTCAATGAATATTGCAGCAAACTATACCCAAGATTTCTATTTATTTTAGTCATTAAGAGCCCATTGTGTAAATTTACCTCACTTATTACATTTGTGATTTGTGTATTTATCAAAACTTTTCTATTAGCTGTTGGATACAGAACTAATCATTAATTTGTTTAAGACAATAATTAATCAAAAAACTTGTGCCAATCACGTTATTTATCAATCAAAGACCAAACAAATAGGGTGCAGATGCAATGCTCATATTCTATTAATTTATAAAATTGCTTCGAACACGACATATTATTGCTATATACTGTGTGCAAACTACTCCCTTCACACATACTTTTTGCTTCTTACCAAAAAAAAAAAAAAAAAAAAATCTGTAAAGGGTCTTCAGAAGCAAAATGAAGAAGGGAAAGTAGCAAGCAGCAAAACATTTACCCTCACAAATCCCATCTTAACTAGGTCTTTGTTGCAAGTGTTTTTGAGAGTAAAATGATAAACATATAAAATGAACACAAACAAATAGCTTTCCTGTTATCTTTGATGGCCTTCAGTGTGGCTACAGTAATTGCAAACTGCAAAAACCAAGTAAACAGAGAATTCAACATTCTCTACTCCTATTTCTGCACTCTGTGTTTACTTCTTTCCCACACCCCATGCCCTTTTTTCTCCATCCCATAAGGAAATATAGGAAAGGAAAATATGTAACTATTCATCCACAGGATTGAAAGGAAGATATCCACCGTTCGACCAGATGGTGCAGCAATTAAATATATTTTAAGTTAAGTGAGGTCAAAACTCTAAGATAATGACGAGTCTGATTAGTTCTCACCTCAATGCTTTCAGATGTGGTGAGTCTTGACCACAGTTTTTCTCTACTTATAGCTCTTTGTAACTTCTTCTGCACAAGATCCACCCAAAACACCATTTCATCTGTTTCGCAATCATCTGTTACTCCACAGAATGCGGCTCGAGGTCCAAAATGCACCAAGAATTCTCTGGGTAAACCAATTTCCTTTACTGCATGGTAAGCTTCATGTATAGAAATAGTACCAACTAGCACATCCATCAAACTACCAGTTATATCAGGGATCATGGAGTAGAACTGTGAGCAAGAAATCTTGGCTGGTCCAAGCTTTAATATTGCAGCAGTACATACCAAAGCCAGCACAAGGAGTGATATATCACTGGCAGTACCTGATCCTGGTGTCGTTCTATTGCCAGACCTGAAATAAAAGAGAACTTATTTTATTTAGAGTTTTGATTAGAAAACACAAGTGGTATAGACAAATCCATCAGCATCCAAGATATTACAAATACATACAAGGTAACAGCCCTAAAGCGTGGGTCCCTCTCAAAATGATCGACAAAAGTTGCTACCACAACTGGAATTTTTTGAGACCAAAACCATTCAAAAAGTACAGACTGCTTGCCAGATAACTTCTCCCTGATTACACTCTCCAAAGGAGCTGAAAGCCGTAACAAACTGCATCACCAGAAAGCAAACAGTTAACATTCACCAGAATCAGAGCAGCAATAAAATAAGAAGAAAATGTTTTACTTGAACACTGGTATAGGGGTGGGAACCACCCCCCCCCCCCCTTCTCCCAACAAAAAAAATAGTAGGATTCTTAAAATATGAAGTTACTCCGTATGAAAGATGCAATTATTACCGCAAACAGCTATTAAAGCTTGTACAGGAGTTTAGACATTTTCTGTTATAGATGTCAGTGACCAGAACATCAAAGTAAATCCAACTAGAAACAATTAGAAATTGGTGGCTGTTTAGTACCTCACGGGGTAATGAAACCAGCTTTACAAGAGACCTGTTTCAAATCAATGGTTTATTGAACGTTTGACAAGGAAACTAGGAGAGTGAATAGCAAATTCAATAATGGAGATTTTCAAGAAAGATTTCTCCAACAAACTAAGGCAGTAGCTCTTCAGGCTTAATTTTATTTGGCTCTGTGGTATAGCTCCACTTTCAAAATGGATGTTGGCCAGTCACAAAATCAGAAATCTTTGAGGGTTCACCGATTCACCCAATTATAATTAAGTTAAACATTCAAAGATATATAACCAAGAAATTAGTGGTGAAAGTCAATCCCCCAGGTCACCAGGTGAGTGATGAGTATGGTGACTATTGATCCTTTTGGTAATATTGATGCTCAAATAAGATCATTCAGTTTTACATGATTGTAACAGATCCAGATCTGTTGCAATGGAAGTCTGATCAGAAAAAAAAATGAATTGAGGCTGACCTCATCTTCTTCAGCCTTTCTCTCTTTTTGCCCCTCTGATCCTGGTGACCTAGATCACCTATTTAAATTCTACCTGTCTTTGACCCACAGTTTCACTACAGTAGTCACTTTGACCTTAGATTCACTACTGTAGTCACATTGACCACAGAGCTATCTTAATTTTTCTCCTAGAAGAGAGGAGGGGCTAAGTTCTCCCTAGGTGAGATCATATTGAACAGATTTCTATTCCTTTTTTATCAAATATGATTTTTCAATTAGAAATATGCTGGGCCTTCAATTAGCTAGGAGCAAGCACATATTGCAAGTGCCAAGCAAGATTGTCATTTTGATCATCGAGTGTACATTGTACAAAGTACCTTTTATACTCCACAAAAAGGTTAAGGCAACTTTCATCAGCTGACACAAGTATCCAAACTTCAAAGTATATATAAAAAAAGGAAAAGACAAAAAAATCAATAAAATGAACAAGATATCCCAGAAAGGATGTTGCTACAAATGGAGTCCTTGAAAATTACCACACATTAAGAAGGTTCAAGGCAGGATGGCGTTTCAGACACGTGACACATGACATATAAGTCTATAACAAATGTCAATGCCATATCATATTGAGTATTGCAGTGGTACCCAAAACTAAATACAACTAAGGCCTAGTTCTCTTCACCTTATACAAATAATAATCAATCAAAATAATATCAATTCAGTAAAAATAAGTTAAGTTCAGTTAAGATAAGACAAGTTCAATAAAAGTAATTATTAAACGGAGAAAATAATTTAAATTTGGCAAAAATAATTTCAGTTTAGCAAAAAAATGGTGAAGAGAACAAGGTCTTAGTTAGATGAAAGTGATAACTTATGAAAGAGTCTAATTAGAATGGTGCTACTAATGCAAGCCCTTGGATATTCATCTGACAAGTATTTTCTCCTCTTCATTGATAAAATATCAAGTTGAGATACAATAATATCACGCAGGAGTAAATCAATCTTTGACAATTTACAAATTCGAATTTTACCCTTTTTGCATAATGTACCAGGACTAAACATAATACAGGACAGCAATAACAACTAGAGGAAGTGAAGATGGGGAAAAATGCAAAACTAAAATAGCTAACCGTTCTCTGATAAGAGAATAAAATAAAAGTCAATAACAAGTTTTTCTCATGCACATTGGTGATACTCAGAAAAGTTAAACCACATAGAGCTCAAATAGGGCAGGAAAGACTATTGTTGCAATAATTGCATAGTTACTTATTAAAGGATTTGCTGAAAACAAATGGGAACATACAACTTCGACCATCAAACATTATAAGCCAAAAAGACATCTACCTTCTCTGAACAGCAGCATTTATTTCCCTGTCCCTCCCATCCCTGCGCGATGAGATCTCATTAGCGGCTTGCAGCAAAGCATATACAGAAGCCTGGGGAAATTACGGAGAAAATTAAATGACTGATTACATTCTACGCGACATTGACAGATTTGGGAAAGAACACTTAATTAAAAAATGTGTAAATAATAAAAATAATAAGACTAAACATACGTAGTAGTTAATTCTAAACTATATTGCTTAAAGTTCACATGTACTTCAGAAATCTTTATTACTAGGCATTCTAGCAAAAGTTACATAATTAAGCAGCAATAGATATACAGATTCAGCAACATTTTTTTTTTATTTATTTACTTTGTTGGTGGAGAAAGCCGGCGCATAAGAGGGAGCAGAGAAGCATGAAATGGACTTAGGACAACATTGGATCGGAAAAAAGTAATTGATTTGGCAAGCTATAGCCAAAAAAAAAAAAAAAAAAAAAAAAAACATAAGTTCAACCGCAACAACAATGATCATAGCAAGTGCAATGTCAATCAAACATGATATAAGCCTCAAAACCAATGTGTGTAATGTGTTCTCATCTATCACCTTAAAAGATGTTCAAAATGCAAAAGAAATCAGCATCTAAAGAAGATTTCATTAAAACCTGATATGATAGTGTCTTCGCCCATGCATTTTTGTCAACACCAAGCCAGGCTGCTGAAAACCAGGACATTTTTGACAGTGAGCTTTGCTCCTTGATTGATAGCTCAAAAAATCTTGCTGCATCATATAAAGATTGGACAAGCCCATTTTTGTAGTCCTCGTTCTTTAGGGCTTGATCTAGACTAATTCTCATTGCCTCGACATCTTTACTTGTGCTAGCTTCAGGGCTCCCATTGACTGTCACACCATCATCAGCAGATGCGAATAGAAAGATGTTCCGAGCCTTTTTTGGTTTATGAGAAAATAAACTATGCTTTCGAACCTTTAAATACCTATAACTATTACTATTTCTATTTTCAAACTCTGTACATTGCAAAAAAGTCTTCCTAAAACCAGCCCATTCAGATATTGTGTGATCTGTGTCTACCACTCTGTACAAACATTGAACTTTACTTGATTTGTTTGCAGCCCATTGAGCTGAAGTGCTGCAAGTGTAAGAGGAACAAAAAAGCATGAGTATCCAACCTAAATTTGAAAAGAAACAAAGCATTATCTTTTTTTTTTGAAAGTTGATCTTCAAATTGAATAACAACTTGAAAAAGGCAACAGTTAGCCAACAGGTCCAACAAGTTTATATAGGAGATTAACACCTCACTAATATAAATTATCGCTCATAACCAGTTCCACATCTGGGCATGTGATTTCAATTAACAGAACATAGAATAACCCTGAAAGAAAATGAGAAAGGTTCAACTCCATCCAATAGTATAATAACAATTATCAAGGGCAATACACTAAACTGGTCGTCAAAGATTGCAAACTATCATTAGTATTTACTGTACACAAACATGCTATCAAGGAAATAGGGTTCATCATCTACGGGGCCTTGGCTATCAAACTAAAGAAAAAGAGAGGAAATGCAGAAGCGGAGATAGACATGTATCCTCCACTCCCCATGGTTTTACATCCAGGATACAGTAACAATGCAAAACCGCATTCACAACAAACACTGATGGGTTGCAGTTATTCTGGCCTAATATCTCAGTCACAATAAGCTCAAAACCCTTTACAAAGAAGTTACAGTGAAAATCATGTCACTCACACCAACCTATCAACAAAATTCAAAAAAACAAACCTCTCTAATAATCATAACCAATTAGTCACCTCACCTAACTCTCACTCTTAAGGGAGTCATGTGCAGGGAAATTTCCAAGAAAGAACAGTACCCTTTCTTGATTGAAATAAAATGGATATAAATGAGAAAAATATTAAGGAAAAAACTCCTCCACAGCCAACAATCCTTTAGAGCTCTGATTACATCATCTACAATCACCAATAATTTGTTAATGAGTGGCACTTATATTATCAGGTAGATATATGTATCCCATTATTCCTACAATGAGTAAAATTTCCTTTATATTTCCATTAGTTCACTCTTACACAAAAGACTTGTTTATGACTCATGAGGTCATGACATGATACTTTTTTCGTCATGTACTTGAATATAACTAGTATAGACACCCCCCCCCCCTTCTCTTCTTTTTGTTTTTCCATTGGCAAAATTCAATAAATTCATGAAGAACACATGCAAAGTTAGGCTCTATTTATTTCAAGGGTGACACGACAGATTACTCTCAGTCCAAGTGGACCAATATTCTAAATAAATATTTGGAGAAAAGAGATGCTCTTACTCATGGAACAACTAAAGTTGCTACCAAATGTAAATGATCATTGACAGTAGAAATTTGGTAGGTTTTCAATAATGAGAAACAGTTATAAGGGCCATACTTAAATCACAACGAATGTATATGGAATGATATACTAATTAATATTCATCATCATTTCAAATAGTATATAATAAAGCTCCCACGTAAAGTGACCTGCCTATACAATACTAACAAGCACTAGAAAACAAAGGAAATCAAAACGACACTGCTTGCAAAATCCAAAAGAATGTTATATAGTTAGGCATTGATGAAAATCGATTTTTGCTTCCTAGAAGTACTTTTCCATATATCATTTTATGAGAAATTAGGAATGTCTTTGGCCTATAGGTTTAGATGTACTTTTGAAGTTTTGAGAAACAAAAATAGTACTATACTGTTTCAAGATTGGACAAATTATATTTTCTAGAGTTTTAGCCCCTTGTCTTTCTTATTAGAAATTGTTTATTACTTTGGCTCTCATTGTAACCTTGTGAAATTGAGCTATAATTGTTTTACCTTAAAGCCCTCTTTCTCATCATCTCTCCTAAAAATCTTTGCTCCAATCTATCATACCGCTAAGGTGCTAACCCTAACCTCCCCACCATCCTTTCTCTCCCTCTCTCTTCAACTTATTATATGAATTAATGTAAATCGAACAAAAGCAAACGTAAGGAAACCCAACAACTCTCAGTTAGGGATGGCAATCTAGTCCGAATCAGCCCCTGGTCCGAACCGATCCGAAGAAAAAAAATCTGAACCGAATCCAAGAAATAATAATCCGAATTCGACTTCGTTTAAAAAATCCGACTTCGAGTCGGAAGAGGGTCGGAGTTGGAGTCTACTTAATCCGACTTATCCGATCCAACTCCGACTTTTCTATGTACTTATATATATTTTATTATTCAATTCATGTATTCATAGATCTTTGAAGTTGATTATATATGGGTTGCTATTGATAATTGGGTCAAAATAAAGATTTAAAGTCGGAGTCGGAGGTTGGAAATTTAAGTCGGACCGGAGTCGGATTCTCGAAGTCGAATGTCGGAGTCGGAGGCGGAGGCGGATTAAAAATCCGACATCTTATAGGGTCAGAGTCGGATTTTGCATAGTCTGATCCAATTCCGAACCATTGTCATCCCTACTCTCGGTGTTAATCCCTTTTCCTCTCTAGTCCAACCCCTATTGTAAGAAGTTTTTACATAACTGCGTCGACAAATAAACTCAACCCAATATATTAATAACTCATTCTCTCTTCCCAAAGTCATCATCCTGCAACATAGCCAAAATCCTCTAGCCCCGCACAATTCCTATTACTATCCTCAAGAAGCACCGAGAGAACCACCACCATTACATGGAACATCAAATCTGAAATTGTACATTTGAGTGAGACATAAGGGAGTCATTTCACATGCTATGTGCCATTGTTTGTTTATGCTTCCCTAATATCCAAAACCCTTGAATCCAAATCTGCTCCTTTTGAAATCCAAGCCCTTAATCCAAATCTCTTATCTTGTGTTTATTAGTTCACCTTATGCAAGATTTGTGAATGTTGTTTGTTTCTTTACTCTCCCGTACTTATGGTTGGTAAGGAGAGAAAAACACCTTCACCCTCGACCTCAACCTCCACAACAACAAGAGTACCAAATGGGCCAAGGTCAAAGATACATCACCTTTGAGTAACAAATACGCAAATCGGCTTTGGTCAACTCTGATGTGACTTCAACATCGTCCAAAAGTCCAATGAGACATAATGGAGGCCTTCACCACAATGAGGGCTAATTTCAAGAGTCTTCGTACAGAGTTAGGCGACTTCCGAAATGAGGTTCAAGCTCCCAAGGCGGCCCTAACCCTTGAGTTTGTTTTCTTTCTCCCCCTCTTATGTGCTTTCACTATTTTAACACCGGAGACAATGTAAATGATAGCTTAAGGGGAGTCATGCCCTTAATCCAAATCTCTTATCTTGTGAATATTAGTTCTCCTTTTGCTAGTTTTGTAAATATTGTTTGTTTCTTTACTCCTCTTTCTCTAATGAAAAAAAAATGGAGTCTATGTTCTACAGCCAAAAGTCATTAAATGGAAAAACAACTTATCGAAAAGTTGATATGATTTCTCAGCTTCTATCCCCTCCCCCCTCCTCCCTCTAAAAGCTATGTAGGGCTATTTTGGAAGAATAAACTTTCATTTTACCCCCCACTAGGCCTAATTTCTGATTCTCAAAGTTGAGAAATAATTTCAAAAACTTAGCCAGTCAGCAAATTATATTGTCAGAAGCATGAAATGTGTTTACCATACTCCAAAGAGCGCAAAAGTGTGTTTGCCTACCAGCCTGTGCATGGCACTACTTGCAAAATCAAATGTTACCTTATCTTTTGGAAAATTATATTATGTACCCACCACTAAGTACACCCACCATCGCATGGACTGTACACATCTTTGCACACGTGACTATGTAAGTGCACCATATAAGTATTGCCATCTCTCTCAAGTGTACAAGTATGAAACTTAATTCAAGTAAATAGCTAACAATATTTTATAAACATGTTATATCAGTATCTTCCCCGGTAGTCTGACTCTAAGTAAGTGATCGCAATTATAATTGCCAAGTGGAAAGGATTACGTAGAAAGAAAAAAAGAAAACGATGTCCTCTCAACTGCCAATTATAAACAAACAACTAGGAAAATACAACCCCTAATTCATTTGTCTACGTCTATCCCAATCAAGCCTCAAAGTCTTGATTCTGACCAAAGCCATAACAAGCACAACGTACCTTTTACTATCCAGTAAAGCAACTAACTATAAGACTAACTAGTACAATCAACGCATCCTCATTCATATCACCAAATAACGATCAAAAAGAATAAATGATAACATAGTAAACTAATCAATGATCCAGAAATGCTTTAACATTCTATGATCCCTCAATCACCTATTCACCTCCTCTCACTGCACGTTAGTACTCAAACTCACTGAACTGCGTAGTTTTAAGGCCCGAACCCAAAAGGAAAAGCTCGGGTTTATCTCAAATGCACGGGCGATGGATTAGGCTACCCTCCATTGATTATCTTATAATCTCAGAAATCCGACAGCTATTTTAACCAGCTAAAAACGAACATAACAATTAAAATGAAAGACAAATTTTCAAAATCTCTCCAAAATTCAGACAAAATTATATACAGCACTGAATTCAAAATTATTAACCCCACAATTCTACATAACAAATTGCGAAACACAACCACAATATAGAAAGATCGAATTATTCCAAAATCAACACCATTTTTACCAAAATTCACAAAAAAGTATACCAAACTAACCCGAAATTTAACATCATTCATCCGCAAAAATGAACCAAAAATAATGTAATTATCAATAATCAAAGGAAAAGCTGATAAAACAAAAGATTAATCAAGTAACTAACAAAGAAACTAACCTTGGGAGAAGTAGAGACATGGAGTGAGTAAGCGCGCGAAGTGAAGAAGAAGATGAGGTTGCAATACAACAGATGGCGTGTTCGAGAAGATGAAGATGAAGCCTAAAAATCAGGAATTTTGGCTGAGTGGCGAGGCAATTGACATGTCTTCATTCTTCAAAAGCAGCAAATTTGATGAGTTTTGTCAAGTTTAAGCCTTTTGTTTTTTTTTTTTTGGGTAGATGTAGTTTGCTTGATTTGGGCTCTTAGAATAAGGAAAATCTTTTCTTATCTATACTTCTTTTTTATGCTTTATGCCCCTTGGAATATTGTGTGTTAAGCCCATAGATTGGCCTCGGATATGTGGATGTCCCCATTTGTGCCCTTTTTTTTTTGTATGTGTATGGAATTGTGGATCAAGCTATAAAGGGTAATGATGAATCTAATGATATAGATTTATTTTTTTTTTTACTTCAGAACAGTTTGTGCCAAGAAAATCCAAGTTATTCTGGGAGATAAATCTGTAGATATATCGCCTCTCACAATCTAATTTTTTTCTTTTATTTTCTAAATGATAAAAGTAAAATATTAAAGTGGCACAAAAATAAATGCATAAAATTGTGAGAGGAGATAAACTGGAATGTTAATCTCTGAGATTAACCTAGGCTCCCTCGTTTGTACTCTCTTCGTTCTTTTTTATCTTATCATTTGGATTTTGTGCGGTTTACCATGTACAACTTTAAGCATCAATAATTACCCAAACTATTGGGTGCGGCAAAGCCGCACCCAATTATTTGTGCGGCACTCCTTTTTCTCTTCCCCTCTCTTTCTCTCTCCTTCTTCTCTTCCTTTCTCATTCTCTCTCCTCTGCTCCTCCTTTTTCCAGATCAATATCAAAATCAGAAATTCACATCAATTGCATAAAACAATCATAATTAATCCAAAGGGGGGTATTGTTTGGAAATTTGCTATTGAATCGAAATTGATGATTTGCTCTGTTTGAAAGCAAATGACGGATGCGGAAATAATGGTGGATGAGGAGGTGGCAGCAACGGCGACGGCGGAGGAAAGAATTGCAATCGATTTTCTGATGAATCTTCAAAAATTTTGGTTGATTTCAGCAATTTTTGTCGTCGCTTTCGCTTGCGTTGACTGTAAAGATGCACAATTGTTGTTGCAATCTCCTTCGTTGTGTTCATTCGCTTTTGCGAACTTCTCCTCTTCTCCTCCCGTCCACGTGGCAGATGCGGTGGAGGTGGCGATTTGGAGGTTCGATTGGTGGTGGAGATTTGCTGGTGGTGGAGTTTTCATGGTGGTTTGTTGGGCGACACTCTTTATCTCTCCTCTCTTTGCTTCCTTTTCCTCCTAGTCTCTATTTGTTTCCATCTCCTCCGATAATACAAAATGCAATGCAATTCGTATAAGCTTTTTTTTTTTTGATGAGTTAAACTTTAAATGTTTAATTATGTGGATCAGCCAACATAATACAAATATCAACCAATAAAAGGAACATATCAGTTAATTAATGTCTGATATTAGTCAACATTAAGAACATATCAAACAATAATAAAAACGTATCAGCCAACAAAAGGAATATATCAGCCAAAATAAAAAAAATAAAAAAAAACATATCAACCAACAAATGAAACATATCAGCCAACAAGTGAAACATATCAGCCAAGCCTACCGCACGCATAATTTACGTGCGGCAGTCCGCACCCAATACCTTCTCTATATCTCTAGTTTCGTATTAGTAAAATTTAGGCAACAATGCTACAAGTCTTTTCTTCAAGCCTAACAACCTAGGGACCTTAGCATACAATCTGGGTTGTTTCCCTCTCGACTTATGAAAATTTATAAATTTGAACACATGAATAGTAAATAGGAGGTTAATAAAAGAACATAAGGGAGTATCACATTTTGTTTGAATGTAATCAGCTAAGGTTGTAATCCCTATATGCTCACATTTTGTTACCACCTTTTTTAGCCAAACCCACCAGTTGTTCTCCATTGAACTGGTGGTAAGTTGCAACAAAATTTTTAAAATTGATGGCCTTTTGCAACATTTTTTTTAAAAGGTGGCTATATGCAAAAAAAAAAAAAAGAAAAAAAAAAGATTTAAAAGGTGGTTATATGCAAATTTTCTAAAAAAAAATTATACTTTATATTGATGTTCTCACGTTGACCATTTTTGTCTCACAAAAATATTTCAAGTGAGAAGACCAATTATATACGAAGTATTTATTAAAAAATTCAAATGAAAGTGTTGGGAAATTGTTACAATAAACGTGCATAAAAAGTGTAGAATAATCATGGGTGTATTTTAAGAGATTTAACTCCTTTAAATAAGAATTATAGTGAAGTTGTTATCTGGATAATTATAATGTCAACAACTTTTGTTTCAGTAATATTTCTAATTATTACATATAAAGTTGGTTTATATGAATTCATTTTAGTGCAGTTTAATCCTCTCATTGGTTGTTTATGAAATTTTAATCCTACTTCCTTTTTATTTTTTATTATTATTTTTTTAATCTGTACATAATTCTTGTCAGTTTTAATCAACATGAGCTCTAATGAGTTCACGTTAAGTTTTTCACAGGGTTGAGCATTAGCCAACATTCAAAAATAGTCTAATTACATATAAGTCCAATAATAAGTTTAAAAACCATTTTACAAATAATAAGTTTAAAAACCATTTTCCGATTTTCCCCCTTTTTTTTTCTTTTTTTTTTTTTTTTTTATCAACGTGAGACAACACCCCACGCCATAATCTGATTAAATTTTCTTACATACTCAAAATAGCTAAGCACTCTAGAAGAATAACAAGCTAGATCCTAATTAACATCAACAAGTAACAACAAACATGAAACATCACATCTAAACACCGTGATCATCACCATACCAAGTCCTTTTCAAGCATATTAAAAATCACGTCACACTGTTTGGTATTATTATAATCATGCACAATACAATATACTAACTATTGACTAACATATTTATAATATATCTTATCTATGTTGAAAATTATGTAACTAATTGTTTAATTAGAGCGTAATTTAGAACCAAGTTGTTTCTAGCTACTAGCTAGCTAGTGTATGATCCACTGGTTAACGCCCTTTTTCAACATATATGACTTAATTGTTTACCTAAAACTTAGAATATAGTTATAATATAACACTATACAATTGGCTAATTGCCATAAATTAGGTTTAATTAAGTTAATGCAAAGCTAAGGGTCGGCTAAGGCAGTTACCATTTATGCCCATCTTTAATTTATTTTTTTATTTTTATTTTTTATTTTTTATTTTTAAGCTTAATCAAGCTTTTTACAAACAAACAATAGCAAATGGCTTGGAAAAAGTGTACATAAACAAATATTATTGTCGAATGTAATTGGTCCAAGGCAAGACTTGCGGCTATTGAGGGTTGTTCATTATATACTTGGGATTAATTATTTTATGTTATCTCGTACTCGATCTCTTAATTTAAATCATTAAATGTAAGCGAATTAAAAAAAATTAAAAAATAAAAATAAAAAACAACGGAGTTATTGAGCTTGAAATTCTAATTAAATTATCATTGTAATTTTGATTAGGTTAAATATTAATGTATTATATGTTTTTGTCTATGTATTTATGTAGGCTCCTTCCTCAACTCCCTGATAGCAAATATTGATCGTCTTTAGTAACTTAGGTGTTGTTTGGTTCACTTGGAAATTAGAACTTCCCATGAATTGCAAATTTATGGGAATTAAATTCCTATAGTCAAATTCATGGGAATTTCATAAAATTATTTGGTTAAAATGAGGGAAGTAACTTTTCATGGGAATTTCTAAATACCTAGGAGGGGTTAGGGGTGAGCAAAGATCCAGGGTATCCGGTACCGGACCCGAAACGGTTAGGACCCGCCGGGTCCGGACCCAGAACTGGTCTCACCGGTTCTGGGACCGGGTCCAAAATTTCGAACCCAATTGTAACCGGTTCCGGTTCCAAATCCTAAAATTTTGGACCCGGTACCCATTGGGTACCCAGTTGTATATGATATAATATGTGGATTGTTTGTGTTTTTAAGAAACTAAAGAGTTATGTACAACCCATTTTAATTTATAAGCCCAATTGCTTATAAAACTCTCAACCCACTATCAAACAAAATCCTAAAACTTCTAGATTTTTCTCTCGCTCTACTGTACCGGTTACCCAACATATATTGTACAAAATATATTTAAAAAAACAAAAATATGTTGAATGTAACTAATTAATAAAATAAAAAAATATAATATTAATATTTAATATAATTAAAATAGCTTAATGTATATAAAAATATAAGTATTAAACGCTAAAAGTAATAAACCAAAAAAAATATTATGTTTTGTATTATATTTCAACACTTATATATATAAGTGGGTACCCGGAATCGGAACCGTTACCCGGTGAAACCAATTCCAATTCCTAAATTTTAGGACCCGGTTGTACCGGTTCCAATTCTGGTTCCAAATTTTAGGACCCGATCTCAACCAATTTCGGGTTCGGATCCTAAAATTTTGACCGGGTACCTGGTTTGCTCACCCTTAGGATGGGTTAGGTAAGTAAATTTCAACATTTTGTGGGAACTCAAAATTTCTAGGAACTTCCACTTCCCCCAATTTCTAGGAAATCCTTGTACTCCATAGTATGTATATAGTTGCAGTTTTGTCATTTAGTCTTTTCATAGTTTTCCCTTCAAATGGAAAATCTGTGGAAATTGAGGAAATAAATCACTCCTAATAATTTCAAAGTTTTTCCCACAAACTTATCATATCAATTTTTTTTTTAACAAAATCAATTCATTAATAAAAAGTCAACCGGTATCTACACATAAAATCTAAATTAACAAATACATAAAATAGAATCAAATAAAGATTTCTTTCATCAAAGTTACGATCGTTGAAAAAATCTTGCACTGTAATACATCATTCGTACACACGTTTTTTTTAGTTTTTTTAGTCTTCCATGTTCAATAATAACTTATACGAAATATAAATTTAAAAACTTACATGCAATGTCCAAAAATTTATACAGTATTATATTTAAATTTTAAAAATCAAAATGTAGCCATTGTCACTAGTTTTAATCTTAACCGTTCAAATGTTAGGGATCAATCTAGTCCGTTTATGTAGTTATTTGATATAAAAAAATATAGTTGGAAAAAAAAAAATTGTTATTGTATTTCTTACTAAAATAAAAATGGTTTTTACTCAAAAAAAAAAAAA